TTTATGTTAATCATTGTAGTTGTTACTTTGCTTTCGTTGTATCAGATATTTCCTATGGTGTCATTTCTTGGTTTCTTTTCTTATTGTCTTTTTTGTTTGATGTAATTATATGAATCTTCCCATCTGTATTGATACTTATTTGAAATATCTAATCCTCTATCCAACATTTCGTATCAATACCTGCTATTGTTCATGTAAAAGTATCTAATTTAGATTAGAAATAAATTTAAATACGCAATAATGTATTAAAAAACTAACATCTAAAAACAGTCCTTCTACGAGAAAGAGCTGAGCGAGTCTGCAGACGAGCGTTACTTGTCAGACTACGTAGAGAGAAAGTGTCTTTAACCTTTTACGGCTGAATGTTGCCATTTGGCAGTATTTAGTCAATATTTCATTAGAGGTTGGCTTGTGTTCATGATATATAATATTTCGACAATTCGATAATCACTTTAACATATTTCAGCACACATTCATGCATTCATAAGAGAAAAAGTCTTTCACTGAGAAAACGGCTGGATCCGTCTGAAATTTCCCAAATGATCATTCGAATCTTAATAATCGTTTTCCTGCGTGTCTGAACATTGAATACCGAGGGACAATTAATGATTAAATTTCCTTCGTAGAGGTATTGTATATTGCATCACTAAGTAGTATCATCCAGTAATTCCGGAGAATTAATATCTAGACATATTTGGTCGTTGTCGTGCAATAGATGATCAGAAAGTCAAACTATGATATAGCATAGAGGTGTGGATAAAAAACACTACAAAATATTACACTTTAATAGGCAAAAACAATGAGTTTTCCAAAATTTTTGTCCCTTACGGCCGGGTGTTGCCAAATGGCAGCATCCAGCCATTCGATACCAAAGAACTTTTTGTTTCGAAGAACATAGTTTTGTTATCCCCATTGTGAGGGAACTACAATCATGTAGAAAAATGTTTTTGCTACATGTCTTGTAGTAGTCGGCTGAAAAGGAATATATAATCTCAAAGCGAATATTCTTGAACTATGACTAAGGCAGGCTGCGGAACTTTTGAGGTTTCGTGGAACTGTGCCATACCTTTAAACGTATCACACAAATGCACGAAACCACTTTAAGGTTTCGAAGTCTCTCAGGTTTCGTGTAAGACCATTAGTGGTATTTCTACTCAAAAAAGGTTTCGCATTATACCTTCTAAAGGTATTGTAGTCAAGATATTTCGCACCAGACTACTTTGGCCTCGTCTTAACCATTATAGAGACATATGTTTATCAATTAGAAATTCGACTGATCGGACTCCTTTCTGCTGTTTGTCTATTTACATTCATTCTACAATCGATTATGCGTGTTAAATGACTGCTTCTGGGCTTTTTTCTTGCGCACAAGAAGTTTTTTGTTGGGCTAATAGAGAGTATTTCAATCATGTAACAATCACATCTCTTTCTTCCCTAAATAATTGAGTGGTTTAAAATTTTACTGAAAGAATTATAGCATTCGAGATGGGATATATTTTTCACGCATCTAAATTAACCAAGACCTCTAGTAGCTATATATTGCCATCCATATTAATAGAAATGTGGAAGACAGAGATCACGTATTTTGCTGGTAGTGACGATTAATAGTTCTCTTACGTAATAATGTGCACCTCTCTTAATAGTTGGTTTAAAGTTAAATAAATTCAAAGGTCATGGAATTTTTGGGGTTCAGGAATTTCGCCAATAAGACTTTCGCCAATATGATTTCCACCACATGCGAAAGTGCGACGGTATGTGAGCGAAAGTACAGCAAACTTTCGCCAATAGGCGAAAATCCAGGGGAAATGTTGGTGAAAGTCCGGAAGGTATATTAGTAAATGTTCACATGATTTTTGCCAATTATCACCAAGCAAAACTAATACATAATACATGCGAGGGTTAGACACTAATCTTGTTAAAAGATACATGTATTATAGCTTGCACTCATAATGTAGGCGACGGAAACATTTCACTTGCACTTTATTCACACTCATGTTGGCGAAATTCCAGCTGGTGTGCTGGCAAAAGTCCAGGAGATATATTGGTGAAAATACAGTGAACTTACGTTAATCGGTGAAATTCCAGGGACTATATTCGCGAGTGTCCCCATGACTTTCGCCATTGGCAAATGCCTATTTGGTGAAATTTGGGTAATCCATTCAAATCGTAAGTGATCATTCAAATTTGAAAATATTATCTATTTCTTTCTTTATATTTTAGAGTCACTTTGACTGTATTCAAAGGTAAGACGGAATTTCGACAATCAGAATTTCGAAATCGAAATTCGAACACTATTGACGATTTTCCAGTGCTGCCTAAAACCTTTCAGAATTTCAACAATAACAAACTTCATGTGTTATTTCATAGTACGAATGTCAGAGAATGAAATGTTACACGAAGTTTGTTATTGTCGAAATCCCGGAAATATTTAGGCAGCACTGGAAAATCGTCAATACTGTCCAAATTCCGATTTCGAAATTCTGATTGTTGACTTTCCAGTGAACCGTATTCAAATGGTAAGTGAAGATTCAAATAGGAAAACATTATCTATTTTTTTCTTTGTGTTTCAGATTCACTTCGATCTTATTCAAATGAAAATTTATATTTAATCGAATGAAACCTACCAAGATCTTTAGTTTTGTTGGTTCGAAGAGATTAAGCTTGTTGCCGAAATGGGTTCTTCTGCTGAAGAGCGGTCTTCTCTCATTGCGTTGCTGCTGTCGTAAGCTCGGAAACCTTGTATTGGTTTGCGAGATCGGTGTCCAAGAAAATTCTGTAAGGAATGGTATCGGTTTCTGAGACCTCGGAAATGCTGTCCGGGTTTTCAGAAAAGGGATTTTCTTACAAAATAAATGAGTATACTGATATTTAAAGAGAGCCAACGGTGTTCTATTTGAATCCCGTCGAAATTTTGACTATGAAACCTTTTCTGATGTGAACTAAAAATAGTTTTGTACGAAACCATATTTTCACGAAACCTTTAAAAAGGTTTCGATTTCGTTGCAAAATTCGGAACCTTTTTTAAGTTTCGTAATGTACTTTTTTTCAGTGTATTATATCGCCCCATCCTTAGATATCATATACTATTCTGAATCCTGTTCCAAATGCGTGCTCGATGGTAGCTTGTTGTTTTTCAGTATAAGAGAGTGTGAGTGTGAGTGTTGTTCAAAAGGAAATAGAAAGGACACCCTCACCTCCACATTCTGAAAAAAATTGGTATAATACGAAACTTTAAAAAGGTTCCGATTTCGTTGCAAAATTTGAAACTTTCTAAAATAGCTTTTTTTGCAGATATATAAGTATATATTGAATGACTTTTTAGATATAAAATATTTTGTTTTAACAGCAGCGAAAATATGTAATTGACAATGCGTAAAGAAAGACTATCGAAATGACAGAATTTACTTTTGTAGTTTTTCTGAAAAAGTAAATTCTGTCATTTCGATAGTCTTTCTTTACGCATTGTCAATTACTTATCTTTTCGCTGCTGTTAAAACAAAATACTTTTTTCAGAGCGCCCACGCCCACACTAATGGTGCACCGGTGACGGCTCACCGTCCACCTTCCCATCGGACTAACGGTGCCATCGTCCATCGTTCCACCGCACTAACGGTGCCACTGTCCACCGTTCCATCGGTTGGTACGGTGAATCGATGGACCGATGAAACCTGTGAACGGTGAACCGGTGGAATGGTGAGACTGGTGAACGGTGAACCTGTGGCCCAGTGAACGATGCACCGGTGGTACGGTGAGGCGGTAGGACCGCTGCACCGGTCACTTTTTTGTATTTCGGTGTCTCTCCCACACGTTACATCTCAGAAGCTCGAGCAGTTAACTTTCTGATAAGAAGTAATTCCTCGTCCTAATTAATTTTGGGAAATACTAATCAGAACTTTGGAATAAAGCAGAGAATCAAGCCGATGAGGTTATAAAGAGCCATAATGGAGACTGGCATATTAGTACTGCTGGATGCATTGAGTCTTATGTTGTTTAAGTAATAGCGGAAACCGGTTATCATCGTAGATTTTCGTAGTTCTAAATGGAGGGTATTGATATTGACTAGAAATACAACGGTGAAGGTCATTTCGCCGGTCGAAGCCGATAACCATATCTACAGTTACCGGTACAGCTACAGTCATTGTACCTAGGTTTTTCGATCCAATCACGATAACCGTACCAATGGTTACTGATCCATCTAAGATCACTGTACCTACGGTTACAGATCTAATTACCATCACCGAGACTACCGTAATCAATCCAACTACAATAGTCATAGGTACGCTTACCAGTCTGACTACTATCATCTAAGTTACGGTTACTCGCCTAGCTACGATTACCGTAAGTAAAGCCATTGGTGCAACTACGATAAACGTACCTACGGTTACCAGTCCAACTATGATACCGCATTGATAGTTATCAGCAAGATTATATGGCCATACCTGCGGTCACCGGTCTAGATATGATAAGCATACCTACGGATACCGGTCTAAATACGATAATTGTTTCTACCGTTAGTAGCCAAACTACGAGTATCGTGGGTACGGCTCAGAGAGCGTCATGGAGCACTTTTTTATGCCCTGCCCAGCCCTGAGGGCAGGGCAGGGCTTCGAAGATTATCTTGATTGATAAAATTAAAAACAATACGAAAAAACTTTATAATTATTTTCAAATAGTGTTTTCGTATTTTATTTAAATATTATCGGTAAAATATCACAATTAATCTGTATATTTTAAATGTATAACTAAACATGAGCAAAATGACAAAGATGGTAATCAAGAAATGAAGTCATCCTGAAAGATGATGATTGTCGCAATAAACTTTTTATATTACAACAAAATAATTTTTACATTATATCAGAAACACATAGATTACAACAAAAACAAATATGCATTGCAACAAAGAGATCTGTAGCTGCCAGCAACAGAAAATGTATATACAAAAAAAAAACGAACAATATATTAGAAGAAAAAAAAGCTACCTATAGAAGCAAGAAAAACTACTAAAGTTTTTTGAATGACCTAATTAAAAGAATATTGTCTACTTGTTCTGGATTAATATTTGTTCTTCTTTGATTAATTACTAAACCTGCACTTGAAAACTGACGTTCAACATTATATGATGTAGCTGGTATTGAATAAATACGTTTCGCTAATTTACTTAATAAGGGAAATTGTTTTGAATGGTACCGCCAAAAATCCAATGGATTATTTGTTGTTAATGATTTATCAATTTTCATAATTAAATATTGATCTAATTCATCAAATGGATTCGTGTTCGATCCATATTCATCACTGTCATATTCGCAATCTCCACCATCATCTGTTGAAGTATTAGGTGGTTGATCATCTTCAAAACATGTAAATCATGTATCAGCTGATTTGAATTTCTTTTGTTGTGGTTCAGGTGGTGGTTCATGTGATTTTGATGGTAAATTTACGTCATGTAAAATCTTTAGTTGCTGACGAACATATTTATGACATTGAGAGCGTTCTTCTGCTGTACAGCTCTTTAATAATTTATATTTTGGATGTAGCATAGTGGCACAGTAATGACGGACGTCAAGATTGAATAGCTCGTCGATTAAATGTAAAAAACGTTCACGAAACCATTTGATACCTTAAACAAAAACAAATTCAAGTTAAATTAGTTCTTTGAGGTATAAAATAGAAAAAAAGATGATAATTCAAAATTATTCAACCTCAATCTCAAGATAATATAAATGGAATATTATTGTAAGCAAAAAAATCTAATAAGAAGAAGTCCATAAACAACAAAATGCAAAAGTCGCTGAATGTGAAATTACAACAAATTTTACGTCTTTTTTGACGAACTCTTTTATGCCAAATCTTATACTAACCTTCTAATTCGTAATTTTCATTTTCTTCATTTTCACATTTATCTGATAGATTATCATTTGAATTACAGTAAGTATTTACATAATCAAGTAATGATCCATAAGATGATAAAGCACGCTTTAACGTTAAATTGCATAATAAAACCAAGTGCAAACATGGTGAATTACCTGTTTGAACAAGTGTCACAATATGTTTTACTGGTTTCAAAACAAGTACAAGCTGTTTAATTGTCAACACATTCAAATCATAAATTAATGAATGTTTATTCCTAGCTAACAGTAATCGTTTTGTTGTCTTGAATGATTTTAGAATACTTTCCAATAAATTTGACATAGACAACCACCTAACAATACACGATTGGTGTAATGTAACACCAGATTCTTCTTTAATATCAGTATTGATCCCTATCTAAACATTCAAAAAGCATAATATAGTGACATAAAAAGAAACCTAAAAAGTACATATTTTTTTGGAAGCATGCTTACTTTTTTTACGTACTTCACTATCTTCTTACACTTTTTAAAAACTTCAATAACATGTTTTGCTGAAAGAGGAATTTGATCAACTGTCATTTTCATTTGAGAAGATAATGTGTTATTTTGTGATGACAAATATTTTTTGACAAATTTTTTCTTTTTCCTAAAAACTGGTAATGCAGTTTCATTCACTGAGTCATCGTCAGTTGATAATTCACTATCATCGCTTGAAGACTCATGGATTTCTTTTTCATTACCACCAGCAGTTTTTGTACAAAATGGTTTTACATCAACTCCATTCTTGACATCGACAACAACAGTATCAGCTTGTTTTTTTTTGTTCTGGAAAAAGGTTACTTTAACAATATTGTTCAATCGATGTTCATAACAAAAGATTGGTTCAAAATCTTTAAAAGCACAAACAAAATTACTACCTCGATCACATACTATATTCACATCAGCCAATGAATCGATTCCGAAAAAGCTCAAGTAATTATGAAGTGCCTAAAGAAAATTAAAATATACTTGAATTTTGAAGTTAGAAAAAAGTCAAATAAGCCTTCTGAGGACAGAAAAGCTTGCTTATATAGGAAACATTTTGTACATATATTAAATGATTAGTAAATCATAATCAACTAATATTAAGATTTTCCTTAACGAAAAGTAGCCAAATGGTTTTTATATTTCTCAGACATTTATGCAAAAACACAAAAAATCTTTTTAAAAAAATTTATTCTATTCCAGAAAAATATTACTTTTAAGAATGCTGAGTTATAATAAAAATTAAAAGAAAGCTGTGAAATATTTCCTACTAGCGGAGGTACCCGATGGTAGTCATGATAATTTTATAATATATACTTGACATATTAGAAAAAGACGTCACTATGATCTCCTATCAATTATTGGAATTCGATATCGCAAAATATGTTCAGATCACCTTCCCTTTTCAACTGATGTTTTCCCCATTTTTAATTTTTAAAAAAATTTATATCGTTTTCAGTGTTCTTTTTGTTTGATCGACTTCTTTTATTACAAAAGACCGTTTACCGAAATACAACGTCGATTGCAACGCTTTTTGATACAGAACCTTCTTGATTTTCGCATCAGGGGCTAAAATAAACAAATTCTTCCCAGTTCCAACTCCTCAGCATGCTACGTTAAGTTGGCCATGAGAAAGGCAAGAGCTCTCTAGATTAATTCCAACCACCTTAAGTAATTACTCTTGAACCTTGTCGATAGACATCGTGAAGGCAAGACATACAGCAAATTGAAGACGCTTGAATTCAAACGGTATATCTGTAAGAACCATGAATATTCATAGTATGAATACATGCTCACTCTTTGCGCAGCCTGTCAACATTATTTTTCTTATCGTACATTAGAGATAGAGATTAAAGAATTTCCACTTTTCACAACCTGGGTGGTATTACATTCGATTACCTTCCTTTCCTTATCTGTCGCGCCAATCTACTCTCAATTTTTCTTTCCACTAAAGAGTATATCATGGAAATTTTGATGGCGCTAGTTATTACCGAAATCAAATGTACAAACAGCAGACAGACAAACGTTGTTATTTATATAAACAGAAGAAGACACTCGCTTCCATACCCTATACCCACATTCAGTGCTTAGATCCCTGAATCGAACTGATTGCCTCTAAAGTCCCTAACTGACATTTCACCTAACGACCAAAGATTGATTAGCTAGGTTTCTTAGTAGCCGAATTCCTTTTGGTTTCCAAACAACTCATTAGATTCCAAGGCAAATAGACCTCACATTCGAACTCACCATTTCGAAAAACCCCCTGGTCCATCAATTCCTTCAAAATATAAGCGTTCTGGTCTATTTTCTTAAGTGCTGAAGTCCTATTAGTTTCCAAACAACCACTCAGGTTTCGAGGCAAATGGACCTCAAATTTGAACTCACAACCTCTACATCCCCGTGCCCCATCATTTTCTTGGAGGTATAAGCGTTTTGGCCTATTTTCTCAAGAGCTAAATTCCTATTGGGTTCCGGCCAACCAATCAGATTTGGAGCCAAAGGGACCCCAGATTCGAACTCACCGCCCTCGAAAACCATGCGCCTCATGATTTCCTTCCAAGTATGAACATTTGGGTCTGTTTTCTTAAGAGCTGAATTACTATTGGTTTCTGGACAACCAACCAAAGTTCGAGGCATATGGATCTCGGATTCGAACTCACCGCCTCGAAAACCCCCCTGCGCCATTATTTTCTTGAAAATATAACTGTTTGGCTGTTTTTTTTAAGAGCTGAGTTCCTATTGGTTTCATAAGAGCCAATCAGATTTCGAGACAAATGGACCTCAGGTTCGAACTTATCGCCTCTAAAAGCCTCCTGACCCATCACTTTCTTCAAAGTATAAGTATTTGGATCTGTTTTCTTAAGAGCTGAATTCCTATTGGTTTTCGGCCAATCAATCAGATTTGGACCCAAATGGACCCCCAGATTCGAACTCACCGCCCTCGAAAACCCTGCGCCTCATGATTTCCTTCCAAGAATAAACATTTGGGTCTGTTTTCCTAAGAGCTGAATTCCTATTGGTTTCCAAACAACCAATCAGATTTGCAGGCGATTGAACCTCGGATTCAAACTCACCGCCTCAAAAAACCCTGTGCCCCATCATTTCCTTCAAAGTATATGTGTCTGGCTCTGTTTTTTTAAGAGCTGAGTTCCTATTGGTTTCCAAACAACCAATCAGATTTGGAGGGAAATGGATCCCAGATTCGAACTCAGCGCCCTCGAAAACCTCTAGTTCCATGTTTTCTGTGTGTTCATGAAGTGGAGCTCAGTTATAGTTCTATAGTACCGAATGCAGCAATCTGATTGGTTAGCAACTTAAGCAGGCTTTTCTGGTCCAAGGAGCTACTGTTTTTGAAAAAAAAGTGGATGTCGACCTTTCCTAGGATCCAGAAAAGAATTGTGGAAAGTTTGGTGACGCTAGCTATTACAGGGACTGAGTGAATCGCGAACAAACAAACAGACATTCTTCTATCTATATACAGTATGTAAAAAAATTATTTGGACACTACGT